ATCACTTGGAGTCTTGCAGGTCGAGATACAGCAGTGAGATTCTCGGGTTGTGGAGGCATACTACAACGCGTGTGTCGTGCGGCTGCCACATGTGTCGAAGACAGGTGCACGCAGACCTCTCGCCATGTTGTCGTCACCGCGAAGGAGGACCCTTACGACATCTTCCACAGGGTGCTACAACGACAGCATTACTGCTGTAGGAAGGAATTTGGACAGGGGTTGACTTTTTTTTTTTTTAATTATTTTTTTGCCTTCCGACAATTGCAGATGTTCCTCAGAAAACTTTCACTTAATGTCTCATACTCTACATGAATATTAAACCAACACGAAGTATAACAACATATGCAGGACTTATTTCTACTGCCATTTACATCGTAAAAATATCTCCTCTTCAACTTGAAATAAAACCAATGACAATCCTGATGTTATCCTATATGCGTTCGTAAGCTTGCTAAAATACTACTACTGCGTTCTATTGTTTGTATTATTTTGTTTGCCTTCCGACAATTAATTGCAGATGTACCTCAGAAACCTTTCACTAAATGTCTCATACTCTACATGAATATTAAACCAACACGATGTACGANTTCACTTAATGTCTCATACTCTACATGAATATTAAACCAACACGAAGTATAACAACATATGCAGGACTTATTTCTACTGCCATTTACATCGTAAAAATATCTCCTCTTCAACTTGAAATAAAACCAATGACAATCCTGATGGTATCCTATATGCGTTCGTAAGCTTGCTAAAATACTACTACTGCGTTCTATTGTTTGTATTATTTTGTTTGCCTTCCGACAATTAATTGCAGATGTACCTCAGAAACCTTTCACTAAATGTCTCATACTCTACATGAATATTAAACCAACACGATGTACGACAACATATGTAGGACCTATTTCTACTGTCACTTACATCGTAAAAATATCTCCTCTTCAATTTGAATAAAACCAATGACAATCCTCATGGTATCCTTCATGCGTTCGTAAGCTTGCTAAATAAAATAATACTACTGCGTTGATGTTCTCTTGTAAAAGCTGAAGTCCAACAAATGCTTTGATCCATGCTACATCTCCGTGTTGGAAAAGCCCTTTCTTCTCCGTTCATGATAACATGTTGCTATTGTACCCCACAGCTTTTAATCTGAAACAATTTCGCTCGTGCTTTGAGTTTTCGAACATACATGCATTGCATGCACACCGTGAACTGCAGCTAAGTTTGTTTTTGTCGTATGTACGACTTCCAACGACATGCTGTGGTATTGAAGGTGCTGCTGTAGCCTCTACAACACAACAGTAGTACCATTACACACACTACAGGTGAACGTCTTTTCCAGCTTAGTGCCCTTTGTATGTGCACAGTCTTCACCCACCACCCTTTCCTTTCAGCGTAATACTGAGCTGAAGGCGAGGGAGCCTGGCGCCCGAGCCTGGAGACCTTGTATAGATAACGTGATCGCTGAGGCAAGGGTATGTGAAAAAATGCTAAACTCCCACGCCGAGGCAAGCCGAGGTACCCATTATCAAATTTTTTTAGGGGCAGCAGGTACGAAGTGACCGTCCCTGCCGCCCAAATGCCAGACAAAATCTGGTGCAAAACAAGCCCATACCATGTATATCCTGGTATAAAACAGGAGGAGGAGGAGGAGGACAACGAACGGCAGGCGGAATGGAACACTCAGCATTTTTTTTTTTTTTGCCTTCCGACAATTGCAGATGTACTTCAGAAAACTTTCACTTCATGTCTCACACTCTACATGAATATTAAACCAAGACGATGTACAACAACATACTCTATGTAGGAGTTATTTCTACTGTCACTTACATCGTACAAATATATCCTCTTCAACTTGAAAAAAAAATTGTGAGCTCCTACACGTGCTCCACGGTTTCCGTCGAGCACTGGGGTTGATTCACAGGCGAGAATGCGTGATGCTTTTCCGGGCTTTTTGAGTCTCTGAAAAGTGATTCGAGGATGTGATGTTGTTGTGTTGCTGTTGTTGACTTCACATTAAACCGTATGCCAGTTGCTAAATGCCAAAATCTAGCAAAGACTCTCAGCCCGTGGTCACGAAAGTGCTAGAGCCATCTGAGGATCTAAAGAACACGCACACGTAGCAAGAAAAAGGTATACAAGAGCCCGAAGAGGTACTACTAC